TGGTAAACCCGGCACATGCTCACTAAATATCAACAATCTTTCACCTTTAAACAGCTAATGAGAGCATGTGAACACTCTTACAAAGCAACATATTAACAGCAGATTTGTAGCTCATTGGCAACAAAGACATCAGTTTGCCATAAAGTGCCAGAGATCCACCAGCACTGGTCACCACTGACCCACTGCCAGGAACATTCTGGCAATAATGACAAGTTTTCCACAACTTTCAAACATGTTCACCGGTGGTTTTTGCCACCCCAGCTTACCAGTTCAAACACATTTCTGGTAATAGGTTTGCCATTAGTGGCAAGCGGATCAGTTTACATTTGCCATAAATAGAATTTTGGACAGAAATGGTATTATTCATACTTTTCCGGCAACCAGCTAAACTTTTACAGCAAGGTCGTGTTTTCGTATGTAAAGTACATCTTTGAGAAACTTGCAGTAGACTTCTGGCTAACTTTGTTGGTGGCTTGTGCTCTTGCCTCACAACAAGAACGCTGTGAAGTCAAATGTATTGTTTGCTTGTTCTCTGTGTGCCTACGTTAATCTCCTCCCGTAGGCGTGACTGTGGTTCTCAGTGGTCGTCTGTGTTGGCCCTGTGATGGACTTGTGTCCCCCAGTGTCACCTCATGACCCCCTGAAGGATAGCATGAGTAGAGCTAATGAAGTTTTGCACAAAATTAGCCAGAAGTCCACCAAAAGTTTGCCACAAATCTTATTTACGTATAAGAATAGGACCTTGGTGCAAATTGGCAGCAACATTGACAAAAGTTAACGACAACGTTTTGCCGTCATCTGTCACTGAGATGATGAACGTTACTTACAAAACATCAGCATGTTACCATTTTCACTGTGAGCATTTCAGCATGCTTAAATGAACACCACTACCTTCATTCAATAGACTAAAAATTCTCGTTATTAGAAACTTGCTGGTGGCCACACACTTGCTTCCAGTGACTGATGCTTTTCCACACCAATAGGTTCATGTGCCACCACTCCACATTCGCCATCAGACGGCTGCACTCGGCTGCAACCAGAGTCCACGAAGGAGAGAACCTGAGAAAACGTACCACTGTCAATCTCGAGTAAAACGTCTGACCGAGATCTCGCCGCCTGCGTCCGCAGAAACGTTGGGAGTTATTTGGCGAATACTGATCTATATGATATCGGACGGGGCGAAATCTGGTACCGAGCAAGAAGAAAAACATTCAGTCAGATTCCTGCCATTTAATATCCCATTAAAGGGTAATTTGGCATGAAACCCCTGGCATGTGTGATGGAATTCTATTGCTGCTTGTGTTCAATGAAATTCCCCACAGACTTTGGACAGCGGCGTGTGTGTGTGTGCTCATGTGGGTGTTTGTACTGGATGTGTGTGTGTGCTCGTGCTTGTATGAGACCTGTGAATTGTACACGAGCGTGTGCGTGTGTGTGTGTGTGTCTGTGTGTGTGTGTGTGTGTGTGTGTGTGTGTCCTTTCAAGCCGGCAGAAGTTTAGTTTTCCACTGGGGTAAATCTACACTCTCCATCTCCTGCCACGTCTGACTGCCCTCTGTAGTCACAGGGGCTCAGGCTGCGGCCACAACAAGCCACTGGCCCATTAACGGACCTTTAGCCAATGGGACGATGGTTGCCAGGCACGCCACTTTTCCTTTGACCAATCACAACTGTTTTACAAGCTGGAATTCGGCACAAGAATGTGCAGAGAGACACCGTTTTGTGTTTGAGCTCTTTCTTTCAAGTTCAAATTCTTCTCCTCCCTACAGACTGAAAATGTCAGACATTTTGTCATTGTCAAAAACAAAGCAGGGGAACATTCGGTGAGCTTAAATCTGATTTATCATCCTCTACCTCTGCGTAACTGATAAAAGTACAGATTTATATGAAATCTGCTACTCAGGGAAACATTTTTCTCTTATTATAAAAACACAATAAAAGTATTTGTAAAAGAGGAATGTGTTCACGACAGAAATATCTGGAATGTGCCGCCCACAGGAGGAGAAAAAACTGCAGAGGAAATGATGCAAACCTGAGCTTCAAACTGTTCCTCTCCCCACTCTTTCATTTGCTCTGTCTGCGTCGGCGACATCAGATGCAGAATTAAAATTTCATTTTCTCGTCTTTTTCTTCGTTTCATTTCTTCGGCCAGGCGATGGGATCGGAGGGCCCCAGCAGGTGTTCGATCCCATGAGTCAACACCGCCTCTGAAAAGTTTCCATGTGTGGATTCAAAAGCTTCTCTTGCATGTAACAGAGTAACACTTCTGTAAAGGTGCCAGAGCCGGAGAAATCCAAGAGGGAGACGTCAACGCCAAGAAATTATATTAACCATAGAGATAAAATAGTTACTCTCTATTAAAAACAGCAGGTCAGCCAGGTGAATTAATCCTTTTTTTGGGATTTGTCTTATTAAAATCTGGTAGAGAGGGAGTTATAAGTCTCACTAGGTCTATCCATCTCTTTCTTTCCTTCTCCATCTGTGAGTCTCAGCAGGTGTCTCGCTGTGAAAAAGCCTGATGTTCGTTCAGGTCACAGGGTTTTAAGCTTTTCGATCAGGAGGATTGTACCCGTCGCAGTCACTGATGCATTTCATGCAAACCGCACACACACACACACACACACTCCTTCACGCTCACATAATATGAAACACATTTGTCCATGAGAGACACAATAAAACTGGCTCTTCCCCCCGATCTCAGTCACTCCACCACCTACACCTTCAAATCCGGCCCCTCCGGGTCCCGTCCACGCTCAACAGAAAGTGAAAACATTACTATTGGTTATGAAGTCTGCCTGAACAAAGGCCCAGTGTTCTCAGCTGAAGAAGACAGAGCTGACCTTGATTGTTCAGACGAGCTGCGAGCTGAAACACTATGAAAGGATTTGCAGCGTGCAGAGCTTTGTGATTTGCCTGACACCAAATTCACAGTTAGAACATCAGAATCGATTACATCACCGTGAGACGTTTTAGAAAGGTTCGGGTTAAAAAGCCAAGTTTCTCTTCCTTTAAAAAAAAAACGCTGAAGTCAAAGTATTCCAGAATCAGCTCACAAGTTCATGTAAATACGTTTCCACTGGCTTTCCTTAAACTGTAAAAGAGAAAGTCTTTGGAGAAGAACAATGAATGTCTGCTGATGTACCAGTGATGTCTTTAGAAACCTAATTTATCGAGTTGAATGGACACTTAATGGAACGTTGATTTGAGTCACTTAAAGTTGAATTAACATGAAATACTACAAAAACATATATTTGTAGCAAGTGAATCATAGAAATGACTTGACAAAATTCTTGCTTATTTTTTGAGTATCACTTATTTCTGTCTATTTTTTGCGGCATCATATTACGCCGGATTTACTTAATTTACTTTCAGTTATTTTGAACTGACTTTGAAAAGTTTATCTCGCTCGGTGTGAAGTTCTGTCCAACAAAAAAAAAACAAAAAACGCTCTAAATAAAAAATGTGACACTAAAGTCCACAAGGCAATTTTAAAAGGATTATTTCCTTGTGGAAGATCCCATTCGGTGCCATTTGTGCCAAAACACAGAAACGGCTTGGAACACATCACACACCAATATGAAAACACTGATCTGGGGAGAAACTCAGACAGGAACTTTCAGATTGACTCCATCTTGCTCTGGAAGATGTTTTCATTAACGGCAGCAAATGGTTTCTTCTGAAGGGAGGGAACTAAGGTCAGGTATCTGCAGGTTACTGGTTGTAACAAAAGTGAGCAGCAGTGATGTAAAGCAGATCTGGCATCAGCTTTTTAGGGTCTCACTCATTGAACCCCTAAAATGTAATTTCTGCACATCAAAGCTACATATTTAGAAGGTCTTTTCATGAAAATAATCCCTTCACGTCTTTATGCCTGCTGCTTCCTCCAGAATGTTCAGATATACGTACTCCATGCATTCAATCTCTGTAGCTCAAGCACACCAGCTCACCTACAACTCTGTGTAAACACTGTAAAACTACACACTAACAAATTGTAATATTGGAGTAATTTAGCTGCAAATCTTAGAACCAGAAACTGATTCTCAAGCAGAATAATGACACAGAAAGTCCCATCCTGCAAGCAGACAGGTTTGGTTCTGTAGGTTTGTTAGATATGAAAATCTGAAAGTCTGAGTCTGTGTTTTTAAGACCGTCATCATTCTAGACTCGAGGTAGAAATGTTCAGCCATGGTACCATATAGCCAGGGTAGCGAGCTAAAATATTTGATTTCTACCAGAGCCTTTGGTGGAAACTGAAGGTTTTTTGTAAGGGATTTGACATTTACTTTTTTAATTTTAAGTCTGAGTCTAAAAAAAGGACTCCATGTTTTCACACAGCACACACACTAACACAAACACGCAGCCTGTGTGCTTTGCCTCTGCGCTCCCAGCAGGACCTCATGGTAGGATCAAAGGCGTGCCAAACAGTAGTCTGAAAGTGAGCATGTTCCACATGGCCTTGTTGTGTCTGGCCTGTTAAAGCCTGGTCAGAGGAGCTGGCTGGGGGGAATTCCATCTCTACTTGGCTGGAGTGGGTGAAAGACAGCCAGTGTGTGTGTGTGTGTGTGTGTGTAGGTGTGTGTGCTTGTGTGTGTGAAATAACAGTACATGGGTTCCTGTGCTGTGGATACAAGAACATGTTTGTGTGTATGGTAGACACTTTGGACCTGGCTTTAATCTAATAATACTGTTTAAGGCTCAAAGCCCGCTTAACTTCATCTCCATGTCAGTAGTCACGAGAATCACACTGAGCAGCACAAATGCTAAATGAAAGCAGAAGAGGGTGCGATGGCGACAGAGATCCTACAGATAGAGGGTAATGTGCTGTAGATAGAGGCAGGCAGACAGGCAGAGAGGCAGACAGTTTGGAAATAATGGACCAGCTGCAGGAATTAAAACAAAATGTGCAGATGGAGGGGACGAAAAAAGAACAAAAGTGAAGGATGTCGTGTGTGCGAGGGAGACTCTCGAAGGGGAAAGAATGTAAGAAATGTGGCTCCTTACCAGCCCGATAAACAAAGTTCGCCTCAGCCTCAGAGGAGGACGGCGAGAGCAGATCGTCGTCGTACTCGTTGGAGCTGAAGGAGCCGGAGTGGTTCCTCTTGCGAGCGTCCATGACAGCGTTGGCCACCATGACGTGGCGCAGCGAGTCGTTCAGGTAGCGGTGCAGCAGGCTGCTCTTGTACTTGGGCGGAGACACGTAGTCCTCGGCCAGTGAGGCGGCCTCGGCGGCCGAACGCAGCCCAGCGCCCATTCCCATGCCCATGGCCATGCCCACCATGGAGGAGCCCTCCTTCTTGATGACGCTCTGGTACATGATGGGCTTGTTGAGCTCCTCGGGGCCGTTCTGTGTCCTCTGAGGATTGTCCCCGTCTGTTCCAAGAAAAATGAATTCATTTAGATGCAGTGAAGGGAATCTTTCCAACACATTCATGTATCATTTCTATATCGATTCATTGAAAGTTAAAAAAATCGGCACACATTTGGATATGAATAAGCTTTTCCCGGAAATCTACATTTTCACCTTTGCTTGTGAGCCTCCACTAGCAGATACCAACATGATTAATTTGGGCTCAGTGGTGGTCGTGGAGCTGGAGAGTCTTCACAGCTTACAGGAAATATTGTGGCCCACCTTCTACTAAGTATTCCGGCTAATCAGAGGAGCACATTCAGCCACAGACTCACGTGGACGTGATGATTATTTAAAACGTTTTCTTTACGTTTTGGCCTTTCATTCACACTCGGGTTTGGATCACTGAAAACTTGAGCTGCTGGAAAACTCCTGACAATATGAAGATTCAAAAATTCAGTTTGCACTGTTGATGTGGAAAACCTAGTGTTTGCTTGTGATGACAAAGTGTGTGTCTTTGTTTCCTTTGCTGAAATTACACAGGAGGTGTATTTCTATCACAGTCCACTCATATAATTCATATTCCTTCTCTTGATTTTTTATTTTTTTGAGTTTAATTTAAAAAAAATAAAATAAAAAATCATTTAGTTTTACAACTTCTTCCATCCACTGTGGAGAATAATACAAATATTCAGATTTTACTGAGTAGTTTTTTGTAAATGATTGATAACTAAATAATAAACAAGTAAACTGACTGCACATAAAATCACAGTGATGACATTTACAGCTTATAAGTTATATATTGAAATGCATCGATGGGTAATGCCAAAGTGTTAAAAGATTCCATTCTTTCCCACCGCGTCTGTAACTCAGGTCTCCCTCACTGTTAATCTGTTTTCATAGTCCTGTAGTCGCCACAGAACAGTTCCAGTTCCTATCAATCTGCATTGCAGCGCTACTTTTTTTTTTCATAAAATACTGCACTTCTCAAGGTTAAGTTATTTCCTAAGGTCTGTTCGGCTCCTCCAACTCACATTCTGGTTATTTTGAGCTGATCTTGAATCCAAATAGCACGGCAGAGAGATTTCAACCTGGCACTCCTGCCCTCCTGTTGGCATCGCCTCAAGAGCAGAAAGCCCAGCCGAGACTTAAGAAGCATTACCAAATCATAACGGATAGTCGTCGATTTCCTCTCCATCAAAAGCACATTGCCCGACCATTCCCCTGCTGAAATAAATAATTTCCAGGGTGCTCTGCAGCTGAAGAGATTGAATTAAAGCATGGGTCCCTACCTGATGAAAGAAACGGGGGGGAAAGATAAAACACCGCACTGAAACACCAGATATCCTCCGGCAGGAGGAAAATCAGGGAGAAGTTCACTCTAGATACTGTCGCTGCCAAGACTGTAATTTTGTAATTTAGGCAGGTTGGATATTTGATTCAGTCTGGGCCAAATTAAAATTATAGCTCCCACATATCAGAAACACATGGAAGCAGTTGTTCTCCTTCTCCTGCACTGTCTGAGGTAGAATTCAGCATCTCCTCTGACACCACACAAACAATAATAAATCTGACCTGTCATTTTAATCTCATGATAGCCTCTTTTCACATTTAGGTCTGCCAGATTTTTAAATAAAACTTGTCCTTTCTGACAGCACGGCCGCTCCAAATCCCATGCAGACAACAGCACTTTCTCTCTTGGACGTGCTACTGTAGTTACAAAACAAGCTGGACCATTTCAGGACAGTAAGAGGAATGTACATGGGGTCAATGGGGTCAGATGTGGCCCCATAAATAGTCTCTGGAACAAAAGCATAGGCTTACTAACATAATGGAGGGCCTTTTAGAGCATGGGTCAGAAGTGGGAGCAGGCTGCGGATAGCTTCATAACCATAATGTGACAGGGAGAAGAGTCAGAGAGATATACAGAGCCTCCGGTGGTACAGTGGCCTGTGGCAGACACAATGCAAACACCATGCACACATTCCTGTGTGAGCCGCACGCTCGGCCTCTCCCCCTCCAAAGTTTAATTAGAGATTACTGACACCACAGCGCTCTTCCTTTCTGTTCATTCTTTCGCTGCATGACTATATAGGTTTTAGTTTTTTCTGTTTCCTGACCATGTTTTCCGCGCTGTCAGTGAGCACAAAGAGGCAGCGTCTCCCCTGAGAATCAGCATGTGTGCATGTGTTTGCAGTAAATACACGGCTGACAGAGAGATACTCATTTCCAATTGTAGGCTGGAGGCAGAGGTTGGCTCAGCGGGGTGTCTTAATGACAGCGTGTCGCTGCCGGCCGGCCTCTCAGTCTCTCCGATGGGTAACACACTCGCCATTTATATACACCCAGAACATGCTTTTGAATAGCATCAGCCCACTTTAGGACGAACACAGAGGGAAAAGGCCTAACCTTTGGCCCTATTTCATGTCATAATAGTACTTTTAAATCTTGGGATTCACAAGAAGCATGCTGTCAGAAAACTTTTCCCAGCAACTCAGTGCAAAGTGCATCGGGTTCACACCACGTTTGCGGCTTTATGATGTGATATCTTTGAAGTGATCATCAATCAAAGCGATAGACTGAGCAGATGGAAAAGTTTTCCACCGTTCTGTAATGTACAGCACACCTGAGTAAAAGCCTGCCAGTCAAACTAATTCAATTATTTTTACATTTGACATATAGATTGAAGGAAAAAAGACTGTGACTTATGATTTCATATAGGTAAAATTAATAGAAGAGATCTGTAAAATGATCTGGAACCTTTACTTCAGTGGTCCTCAGCAAGATGATTCAAAATGTTCCACAGTAGAATAATGAGGAGGTGCAGCCAGACCGTTCTACACAGTGATGTGTGGCATGGTCTGGCTGCACCTGCTTGTTATTAGGGAGGGAAAGCTCTGGTGTGTTTCTCTAAACCAGTGACAGTTGTCTTAGTGGGGCTGAAAACAAGATTCACCAACTGTGTTCACTAAAAATAGCAACAGCGGAATTGTCTTGGTCGTTAAAATAAATGATTTAGCAAATAAAAAAGCTACCAGGGCGGCCTCACTGCAGGAGACTTTCATAATGGTGACACATCGACATCGGACAGGGAGCAGAAACCTGTGTGACCTGCAATCTCCAGCAAATCTACATTCAGTGGGTCAGAGGAAGCTTCAGTTTTACACCATGACCACTGAAAACAGAGCTGGGCTGAAAGGAGAGGGTTAATTTACAGACACCTGTGACGCAGGTGTTGGTTTGCAGTTCTACATTAATACGGCTGTATTAAGCCACAGTGAGCTACAGAGTTTGGAGCTGGAGTTATTTGTGAGACCAATAAAAAATATAAAAAGCCTCTCAGTGAGAACGCAGCAGATTTCAGCGAACAGAGACCCAGTTTATGTGTGTGTGAGACAGAGTGTGCTGTGTAACGTTATCTCTGCTGGAAAAAACGCCTCAAACTTCAAGTTTAGGGACTCACAAGTGGCCGATCTGCAGGGCTGTAATACACAGTGTGTCTATTTTGACACACAAGACAATGTACAAGTGTTTTCACAGCTGAGTGGTACTGCACTTCAGTAAAGTGAAATATCCTTTTAATTAATACTATGTGGCAGAAATCAGCAGATGAGAACAATCAGTCTTTCCTGTGTTAATCGTGGCAGAAGCGATGAGGCCCAAGAACAATAAGTTATGACATTTTAGTTCCTAATTAGGTATATTAGGGATGTTATTTTCTGTTTGATTACATGTGGCACTTAGCTGGCAAACAGCCGTGCTATGAGAGGATTACAACAACGCTCCGTGATTGTTGCTTCGTGTTCGGTGATTCTTTGCAACTGCATCAACATTAACAGTCACTGCGTTGGTATTAACCCTCCTTCAGAAGTGCAGCATCCCAGATACATTCACTCTTTGACAACTAGCCTCGTGTCACACAGTGAACCTGGACTTCTCAGAGCTCATAAAGCTTTGGGGCTGTTGCCCATTTTGGGCAGGCTGAGAATTCTCTACTGTTTTTTCAGTACACAAATCTTAGCCGTACCTTCTGAGCAGCTGTCGTCACTGCTGACGCTCAGCCTCTCGGCGTTGCCCTGAACATATTTGTTGTAGAGTTTGATCCTGAGCGCCCAGCTCAAGTCTGGCTGCCTCACTGTGTTCTTCAGTCGCCTCCTGGCATTGGCAAACCAGTTGGATACCTGAAGGAAAGACAGAGAGAGAAATAGAAGGAAGTGGGAGCGCACGGCAAATAGAAACATATGTTATTGTTTTGATTCCAAACTCCTCCACGTCCATAGCAAAACAAAGTCTATCCTCTATGAAAACGTCTGCTCTCCGCCTGCCATCAGTCTCATTCAGAAAAACCAAGAGAGACCGAGGCAACAGACAGAAACAGAGTCGGGTTGCAGAGCAGCTCTCTGAAACTGAGCTTTAAGAAACATCCCAGATGCTCCGGAGAGACACCCCAGCATGCATCTTTTCTGTCTCAACGCCATGCAGGAACATTTAACACCCTCCAAACGCCGGCCGGCCAGTGAACGCAACGTTTCATTAACTAATGTTCCGACCGAGATGTACGTCCCCCGTGCTTATTCTGGACTCACACAGCCTCCCTCCAATAATACATTTTTTCCAACACTGTCTTCAAGATGCAATAAAAAAGACACTTGAGCCGGCGCTCTTCCTTTCACTGGGAAGGGAGACCATTAGATGTTATACTAGAATAACTTTTCATGCTCAATAGATTTCAAGCGGCTTATGAAGGGGCTGGGACAGGGGCCTTATGCTAGAGTACTTATTTTTCTGATCCTCTCTTTCAGTATCGTGTTTCTCGTTAACTAAGACCATCCCACATCCCTTTGTCTCGAGCCCAGCGCTGTGGCACACCAGGGGTGAGGCGGCATCTACTACATGTGGCTTGGCCGGAGGGGAGGTGAGGTGAGACGAGGCGAGGCGTGGGACGGCTCGCTAATGAGGACTGGAGGAAAGACGGCTGTCAATGGGGTGAGAGGAAAGAGCAAGGATGGCACGCCTGCTCGGATGACACCCAGAGAGATTAAAAAGGTAACCCAGCAGCCAAACCAGCGCCTTCACCCGTGGCCTGTCTGCACTGTATGTACCGTAGAGGAGACGGCATGCAGGCACGGCGAGGGGAGCTCAACGGTGATGGAGAGATGGCACCCGAGTATTAGCACAAACTCTGAAGAAATAATTCACAACGTTTACATGGAAAAAATGGGCTGTTTTGCTAAAACATGACAGATTTAGGTGCTTTTAAACACCTGGTGCCAGGTGGGTGTTTCCAGGGAAAAATGCACATTACTGGCAGCAGGATCGGTGGTTTGTCTGGACTAAACAGTGGAAGAACTGGGCTGTTCGTAGCCTCGATCGATGGAGGGGCGAAGAAAATGGAGGCTCGCAGTGCTACAAGTAGCTGATGTTTTCATTTTAGATAATTAGGTGATTATGTTCTCATTTGTTTGAGGTATAAAATGTCAGAAAATAGTAATAACTGCCTGTAAGAGAACTGTTAAGGCAGACAAATATATTACAGTTTTAGGTCCTTTGCATGGTTTAAAAAACAAAAATCAAAAGATTCTTATGTTGAGAAACTGGAAACAATAAATATTAAGAAATTTAAATGGATGTGACGGACATTTTTTTTTTAAATCTTATTTTGATTTTTTACACTTTTCTGTCCATCAGTTATTTTATGAGCTAACTTATCATCTTAACAACACAAATCTCATCCACAGAATATCAAAGGCCCACAAAAACACTCCTTCGTGCTGAATAATGTGATAATAATTGCCCTGCTGGTCTTCACTCTGAAGACATCTCCCCCCGACCTCTGACCCCAACGCTGGTACCGTCAGCTTCAGCGTGTGTGTGTGCGCGCGTGTGTGTGTGTGTGTGAGGAGGCTGTGTGAGACGGGGAGAGTGTGTGTTCGCAGCACAGCATCCCGGTGTCCAACACAAAGCATTCCTCCGCACTCTGCTCGCCCGCACCAAAACAAACAGCTCCATCAGGCCCCCGAAATGAGAACCAGATTAAGCGCCGTGGCGGGCGGCCCGAAAGAGCCACTGCAGACTCTGTGAGGCCGTATCAGTGACCTTGTCAGCCAGATGATACTGTACATACACAGCTGCACGTGCCAGACACAAAACACTCTCATTTTCACCGCTGGGTTTTCCTCTCAGTGGTCAGTTTGTCAGGCGCTAAAGTCAAACTGTCCACTGTGCTTTTGTGTGTGAATACTTGACGACATAATTCAGCCTAAAGCAGATACAGAACCGGCTTTAGGAATATAAAGTTCAGGGGATCCCATCCTCTGGGTCGGGATCTGATTCAGGTCTCAAGACAAAAGTAGTGTCGTTGAAAGAGCAAGATTTCTTCCATGCATAAATAATAGTAATTAGATTTTTCTTACTTCTTTCTCAAACACACTTTCTACATGTTCAGGCCTCTGAAATTTTATCAAAACAAATAATTAAATCACTTTTTTACCATTTGCAAACAACTCTGCTTTTTCTAATCACAAGTCAAACACATTAGGAACCACGGCTCCACACGACTCCAGGCTGTATTTCTGAACACATTATGTTTTCCACACAACTGTGAAACTGAATAAAAGAAGAACCAGACAATAGAGGGTGCAACTCAACCTAAAGCATATAAGAAACCTGTATTTACTACTGCAGAATAAACTATCCTGCTACATTCTTTTTTTTGAACAGATCTCTATAATTTCTTCAAACTGGTTTTATGCAAAATGTGATAAGGGCTGAGACGCTGCAAGTTTTTCACAACACTGTGAAATAAAACAGAGCAGACTGGCAGCTGTAGCATTTGGAAGACAAAAAAAAACAACATTCACCACTGCATGTCTGTTATATAAGCAGATCAAGATGTAAAAACACATTCTGCTCACTGCCTCTTAATTGCAAATGCAAGTTAACATCCAGCTTTTCAGACCTGATTAGAAAGACTCTCAACCACAGAAATCAGATTTCACTTTTTAACTTAACGCCAACCCTCGCTGATCACACTCTGGGCTGCATGAAGAAATACCTCACTTTTCTCCATTATTATTATTATTTTTTTCTAGCTTCATGTTTTCTTTGTCACCTGACCAGCTGCTTGAAGGAAGCCACTGCGCAGCGGACTCACCTGCACCAGGGTCATTTGCGAGCCGAGCGCCAGGAGGATTTTCTCGGTCTTGGTGGGGTAGGGGTTGTCTCGGTGCTTGTAGAGCCACTGCTTGAGCGGCCGCGCCATGTCCTGCAGGGCCTGGCGCTTGTGTCGCACTTTACCGCCGCTGGGACGACCCCTGCGGAGGAACAGGCACAGTTTGGATACCGCACTGACTTAATGCGCGCGTAACACCTGGACAGCCCGGGTACAGGTGAATTATAGGACAAATTATGGGGGATTTTGTTAAACCAAGCTTGAGCTGTTATATCTATTCTACATTTATCCTTCATGAAAAAGTGTATTTTTCATAATCTGCAGGATTTAGTCCTCCTTTACGCACAGGACAGATGGTTGCACCCATTCTGCATCTGTCCATAACACCAAGCTCATTACATCAGGATCATGTAAATCATGTTGGTAAACATTCTACATTAAAATCCAATTCCCCCTTTTGAAGATTGTGATCTAATCTGGTTGTAACGTCATAAAACGGAATCACGGTCATGTTGTTTATTGAAGTGAACCAAACAATGTTGCGCAGCTGCAAGTGGAGTCCTGAGTGAAGCGGCATGTTGTCTGAATTCGTTAGTCATGACACATAAAGTGAACACTCTATACAGTGTGCAATTTTCTCACCAAACGCACTGCAATTAAGCTCAGAGATGTTGGATTAAAGGAGAGAGAGACGCGGAGAGGCAGAAACAGAGCGAGAGACTGAAGCAGAGAGAGAGAGAGAGAAAAAAGCCACTCGCAGTTTATTTTTCATTGCGTGTCCCACAAACCACCAACACGTTGCAATGAAACAAACAAAAACATTTCGCTCAGGCGCGCATTTCTGCCAGATTAACTTTTCACACCCAGGAGAAGTGGATCAGGAACAATGTAGCTCGGTCACAGCTAGAGCCAAGCCTTCACGCAAGGGACCGGCAAAAGGCTGGAATTATACTTCTGGTTTTCCCTTACAGACAACCCCAGCAGGGACTACACCATGAAAGAACAAAAACATATATATTCTTACATCTCAATACATCAACTCACTGGTGAGTACAGCGACTCGTAAAAGAAAACTGGTGGTTTTCAACAAGGCAGCACATTGCAAAATGCTGTGAAACTGCTGTAAATTCATTATTGACATCGTGTGAGTCCCTAAAGGAAGATTAAAAAACATTTCCTTGAAGTCCATCGAAAGGAGCCTGCTGGTTTTCCTGAGCTGTGAAGGAGTCGGTCTCACCTGTAGCTCCAGGTTTTATGAACCTGTAGATGTCAGTGTGGTGCTGTGCTCCACTTCTCCCTTTATCTCACCAAAAGCTCCACTGACTGCAGATGTAACATATTTTAGTCTAACCTCAAAGTCTGCCTGAGGTTCATGTTCTACAAATATTTTCCTTGTAATCTAGATCGCTATGAACATCCTAAAGGACATTTCACTCCATGTTCTGAACTTTTGGTTTAAACACACTCTCTAAGACACACACACACACACACACATACACACACACTAAACCTCTGTTTAATGATTTAATGTTCTTCATTAGTACCGATGCTTCCCCTGAGAGGACACCTTACAGTCACACAAGTTCACCTACGATTCTTTGATTATTGCTCAAAGTTCCTCTTTCAGCAGGCTCCTTAAATCCACTGCTTTCTCTCTGGGCTCCCATATGTACTTAATAAACATGCATCTATGAACAAATAATGTCAGGATGTGATATTTTCTTGCACCTGCTTCCTCTCACAGAAAAACTAAATAAAATGTAGATTTAGAAAAAAAAATAAAAACACTGGGCCCTTGTGTGATTGACTAGACCACACAGAGAGCTCAAGGGTGAATTTATTTATTGGAAACAGATGGAGACCTCTATAAGACACGCTACTGAACAAGGCTGACCTACTTATTAATTCTAAGATTAGCTGTGAACATCAACACCTAAATAAAGACCAGATTGTTGAGCGGTAAATATGAATGCTCTGAGCCATCACATCCTGCTGCATTAAAACCACATGAAAAAAGTCAGACTGAGTAATCAAATGTGTCTTTTAGTCCTGGGATGTAAAGGACATGCAATTCTACAGTAAATCTATAACCGACCAACCTTGTGTAAATATGATTTTTTTTTGTGCGTATATGCGTAATTACGCACGGCTGCATAGATGTTTCTTAACAAATTTGAAATTTATTGAAAGGATCTATTTTTTAACTGAAGCCAAATCATTCACTTAAATAGATCAAAAATATAGTTTTACAGGATTGTAGCCTAAGAAGTCAGATCTGAGTTGGTTATTTCGTCTGCTCGCTTAAGTTTTGCGCACAATTTGGAGAGATCACCAAAGAGTTCTGATAACAAAACCATTCGTGTTGTTCACTTTCTCACTTGTGCTGAGTGAAATAACCGTAAAATAGAGGTATTCGTCATCAGCAACATCCCGGGGGGCTTCCCGGACTCCAGTTAATCCACATCCACACATGCTGACCAGCAGCGTTAAACATAACAGAATGCTCCACATACCCGCTCCGCCTGTGTCTGATCGCCTGGTTGTCTCTGATGGCCTGGTTGCTGGAGAGGAGGTCTGAATGTTGCCCGTCGATGACTTCTAGGTAATTTCTGCTGCTCATTTCCACCTCCTTCGCTTTGTCCTCAAACAGGACCTGGCTGCTCAGCTTGTTAAACACAATGGTGTTCATGGTTGGCCAGACAGTCCACCGGTTTCTCTGATGCGTAAAAATTCAAAAGGAAAAAAAAAAGAATCTCCTCGGATTTGTCACAGTGTCCCCGTGTCTCTCCTGTGGAACAAGTTTGAATATTTTTTAAAAGTAGTATTTACATACACCTCATAAACTGTGAAGTAAAATTAGACATTTGGTCAGTGAGGATCATCCGAAAAAATGCAGTAATCATTCTGAGATAAGCGTTTAACCTAAGCCGTTGAAAACACACATTGCTCGGATAAATCACAGCTTCATACCTTCACTCTGATATGTGGAATCAAGCTGCCCACCACTAACTTCCTGCTCACACACATGCAACACATACAACAGTCTGCAGACCGATCTGAGTTCAATCGGACCGTGCGTAACAGCGCAGTTGTGATGCGTCATTACAGTGTCGCTCTTTCTAAACAATTCCAAATCATAACAAAGTATTGTGCAAACTCATCGCGCCCAAAAACTCCAAAGAGTTGCTGAGCTGTGCGTGCATCTCCTGGTACACAAATCAAAAAGCAATGAAGAATCCGTGCTGTCAGCAGGTCAATTATGAGTAATGTGGGTAAATAAATTTAATTTTCTTTGTGCGCAATAATTACGCACAGCAATAAAGCCGACTTGTTCTCTTCGTCAGCCACAAGTCTGTTTCTTTTTTACATGACAAAATTTCGCTTAATTCTATTTAATGCGCCGTCAATTTATTTTCTACAAACAACAGTGAATTGAGAATTAACAGCGCAGTCTCGGTGGTTTGGACTGTAAACACCAAATTTGAGTTTTTTAAATGCGGTCTTGTAGAATTCTGGTTCAAGCATCTTGAATATTTCTCCCCTGCCTCCTCTGCACTGCGGTCTCATGTCTATAAGCCCTGGATGGTTTATTTTGGTTGGTGCTTTCCTTTTTTGTAATGTTTAACAAACAGCCATGCAGGCTTCAAAAATGTGACATTTCGTTTTTTTCCCCTTCAGTTCCAATTTAGAATTTCTCTGTACAGGTTCAATATTGAGTCTGACACGGGAAAAGACGCACCGTGATGTGGAGCCATCACCGGCAGCCTGGTGCAAAATTTGGGCAGCCTGGTGCAAAATATGAACATCGCCAAGTGAAACAGAGACGCAAACTAACATCCTACTTGCAGCGTGTGTGTGTATGTGTGTGTGTAACATGTGTTATTTTTAGCATTCTACAGGATAAAATGTCAGAATAAGACGTCATTCAAACTCAGTCCAGTTCATTCAAAGTTGGGTTAACGGACTTTACGTGGTTTTATCCTGGACTACATCGCTGCTCCTGAACCGGGTGACACATCACAGCTGAGTCTGTCGCTTCTTTCCTACAACTACAATGAGCGTGTGAGCGGGTCTCGGTCAGTTACCTGTCCCGGGTCCCTCCTGCGTCTCTCTGCTGTGTAGAACAATAATCCTGTTTCCAGTCGCCCATTCCCTGCTCACATGTTCCCCTCCTGAGATCCTGAGCTCAAACCACACGGACCGCCGTCTCCTCCTCCGCTTTATCCGGCGGCTTGCGCCGCGCCGCCCGGGACTCTGAATATCTCACCCTGCTCATGTTTCCTAGTACACAGCCCGAGCCTGCGAACATACTGTTGATGGTTTACGCCGGTTCTGGGGCCGAGGCCAGCGGAGGGAAGAGAGGGAGGGAAGCATCACGCTGCAAAAAGTAGGCTGTCTGAATGACTGAGACTGTGTCACAGTTTCAAATGTTACTGAATTAGTTTGTAAAAACACGTTTGGCTGCTGTTTTGCAACTTTATTTGGAAACAATGCCATAATGCAATATTAGAAATGTTAATAAGTCATTAATAAACTGTTATATCTGTGACCTTAATAAGGTGTTAATAAGTTATTTGTAGCATGGATTCTCTGCACCATTTTCCAGACAGTAAATGTTAAAACAGTCAAACAAGTCAAAGGAATTTTGCACCAAAAGTTGCTGCACATATATAAAGCTCGACATCATTCATTAATGAATAAGGAAGTTTATTCTAACTTTAAACATCCTTGTTAGGGCTGTATTAGAAAATAGCACCAGCATGGCAGTGACATGATCCTGCTGGGTGGCTCTGACCCCTCACCTGTTGCCCTCTGTGTGCAATCTGCATGTGTTCTGTGCATTTGATGTAACCTCTGTTTGTTTGTACCAATACAGCACCAGCCTTAGGTAGTACTAGTGTGATAGCAGTAGTAGTGTGGTAGCAGTGCACATTAGAACTTTATCAAATGACAAACACCTAAAGATGTGCAGTGAACATCAGAATCAGAATCAGCTTTAATGGCCAAGTACGTACACAACATGCAAGGAATTTGGTTTCAGCTGTTGATGTCGCCTGAGGAATTTGCAGGAATAATAGAAATAGAAAAAGAAAAAAAAATTAAATAAAAATAAAAAAGAAAGTAAAATAACAACAGAAAGAAAAGAATAAAATAAATATTAAAAAAAAATAAAACAAGATAATGAGACAAATATATACAAGAATTTAAACATCCGAGCAGAAAAGGTTTAAGTACATTTTGCAAAATAGAAGTGCAAATAACAATTGTGGTTTGGAATGGCTCATCCTCAAACAAGACAGAAAAACATTTGAAGCCAAGCAGAGTTTGTGGCCTTTCTTACAGAAGCAAAGCTCTCCGTGCTGCACCAGACTTGCTCGGTGAATATCCTGTACAACTCCTGCACTGAGTACTGAGACTGGAGTTAAAGCCACTGTCTGCTGCAGACATACTTTACAGTGCAGTAAACCTGTTGTGGATGCTTGTAAAGACTGTATCATGTTCCATCTGTGCAAGATCACAGTCTGGTCCTAAATTATCCTGTGATAAATTATACTTTGGTCTTATTGCAACAACAACTTTGCATTTCATACCTGAATGAAGCTGCCCATCTTCTCTTTCGAGCATCTTCGTCTTCATGTGCCTGAAGGGTTCTGGTTAGTCTCAAAAACAGGCCTGATGCTTCTGCTGCGACAATAATTACTCCATCAGATTCAGACCAAACACAATCCAAGCTCGCAGAGAAAAAAAGAGAAAGATTCTTACTGTATATAGCCATGCCACTGCTGATTACTCCTGATGCACCCTCTCATTGACTTCCATTATAAACCTGTCACATTATGGGCTCATGAGTCATAGGTTCTGAGGTTCTCAGCTGGTTGTTCCTTTGGGGTTTATCCAAGGTAGTGATTCGAAGGACGTGACTAAGCAGCGAGAGCCATATGAAGGGTTCAGGCTCTGTGTAATTATTGTTTATTTGTGCTTATTTTCATTTAACGGGGCAAGTTAACTTTTACTAACAGCTTGTGCAAACATGCTATGAATGGCCCAGTCATGTAATCACTTTAATTAAAGCAGAGGACAGTTTATTTGCTCAGGTTATACACAATATGTAAGTTTGACTTCTCGCCTGAAGTGAACTTCTGTTACCTCCCGTGACCTCTCGCTGTTATCTAAACTTGTGGCTCGGCACAACCTTCTCTGGGAAAATATGGAGGTTTGTTACGAGCATCTCTTTAATCCTAAAAAACCTCTGCTTTGGCTCAGCAGCGTCGTCCGTTTCTGACTGCTGACTGTCGTCCAGTGCGGGTGAACAAAACGATTCCACAGGTAGGAGCGCAGCATTAATCATGGTGTCCTGCGTCGTAGGGACTGGTGGCAGCGACTCTGCAGGCGATCCCTGTACACAGCTCTGTTTCATTTCGGCCTGGAAGTTCATGAATTACACTGGCATCTGTTTTCTTTGTCGTCTATTCTTTGGCTTCTTGGGTTTGACCATTAATGGTTTTTGAAGCCTGGCACCAGTGCCAGTGTATTTTTAGTCTAAAGTCATGGGGCGCTGCTGAGAGGCTTTGCAGAAATTCAATATGTTTGGCCATTTTTAATGCATATATGTTACGATACAATCTCTTTTCCATATTAACTTGCATAAGTTAAAAAATAGAACCTCATGTGACACTGACTCTCTCTGAGGCCACTCCACACTGTGGGAACGTCTGGGACACATTACAGAACGACAAAATGAAAACTGAATCGTATAAATAATAAAACAAACACACAAATAATGTTTTTACTGTCAGATTTCTGATTTAAAGGGGCACGTCACGGATGAGGAGTTGGTGCAGCTCAGTCGTCTAATGTCCTCTGATCTGGAGGAGCTTATTAAGCCTGAGAACGTAACCTGACAACGGCATAGTGTCATAGTGGCAAGTCATCCGGGTAACCTCAGCTCGGACTTGCACTGTTTCTGGAGTGTGACCCGAATAAATGTCTAAACTGCTGGTGACTGAAACACATGGTGTTCAATCGATTATCAATGATCAGATCTGATATTCAACATTGTTCCAAATATATGACACAGATTCCTGATAAAATAAACACAGCACTGAAAAACACATATTGGCCAAACCTCAGAGCTAAAGGCCTTGAACCACGGGATTACTGGCAGGACGAGCTGATGGAACACTATAGCTGTTCATGACTTACCCAATAGCCAGATAAAAACTCCAGTCCAGTTCCTTCTCACTGTCTCTGCACTGTGTCATTCCCTCCTCCAGGCGTTTGTTCTTCAAATCGTGCATCATATCATTCTATAATTCATTAAGTGGGATGAAAAAACTCAGCCGGCTTGCTTGCTGTCAGTCAGAACGCTTGTTGGCTTGTTGGATTCTCTGCACCACCAGTATACCAGTCAGCTGTTGGAACAGCAGGTTCATGCATTTACTGAAGACATGATTTGATTCCTGTCTTCAAACCACGTCTCTCTTGCGGAGCAGTTTGTGTTTTCTGGCAGCTGCTTTAAAATGTTTTAAATGTAACTGTGCACTGTTGCTTCTTCTAGAAAATGCAGCTCTATGAAGTCGTTATCTCTCACTCCATTGACTCGCTGCAGCTCGAGCACACCAGCTCACCCATGACTCTGCTCAAAAACTGTAAAGCTGCTACTACTACTAGTCCCACCCTGCCAGTAGACAGGATTGGTTTCTTAGCTTTGTTACATATGAAACCCTGGAAGTCTGAATCTGTGTTTCTGACACTGTCATTAGCACGCTGCAATTACAAGGTGGAAGTGCTCAGACATGCTGTTGGCTGCTTATTTCACTCATGACAGGTCTTCCTGCACATAAAAAAAAGTCAGCATGTGGACATGTTAACATTATACAAGCTGGTCTGTCACAGTAGGTGGTCTTTAAACAAAACTAGATTGCAAAACTATCTACTGTCATGAACCCCTTAAGTCCCCCTTGGGCTTCACACAAAGAAATAGTGTGAAACAATGCACTCATCATGAAAGAATGTATTGATGCTGCACATCAAATTAAACAGCAGAACCTGGGTTACAATAATATAGAAGCCATTTTACATGCCCCGAACACAACTCAAACACCAAATAAATGAATGATCAAATATGGAAATCGATATAGCGCCACCCAGTCGACCCACTCGCCACATTTCTGGCTCTAGCGCATTGGTATTTGATGCAAAATGCCCAAACAACCCCTCAAACGAAAGCAGACAGTCCACAGATTCTAAACATATCCATCAAAGCTCTTTAAAACCAAAGCACCAGCGAGAAATAACCCAAAGAACAGCAAAAACCGAAATCCAAATTCAGCGAAGTAATTGTATAATTCCTCTTACCTTTGCTGTTTTGCCATGACAAGTTTAATTTATTGGCAAATCCACACCGGAAACAGTTAGTACAACTTCCTGTGTTACACTGAAATCATTCCGGGTGTCTTTTGGCGGCTTTTTGGAGCTCAGCAGTAAGTGGCTCATTTTCAAGATGCCATTCTACTAATTCTGATTGGCTAAAAGTGCTGTCAATCTGATGTTGGTGGCTATCGCTATATTCTGTTGGCTCTAACGATTCAAAGTTGGTGTCAATCACTGAAATCGACCAATCATTACGGCAATACAGCCTTGGTCACCACAGGAGCTTCACAGCAGTCTGATCAGCATCATGCACAGGATGCTTTATACATACAGCAGTCTGGTTGAATTTTCATTAAAAAAATTTGCTGCATTTGGATGTATTGAACATCATCAGGGATATACAAGTGAAACATGTAGTTTGTACATAAGAGAATTCAGACGGTCACAAGTGGGCCAAAATGTGAGCTCGCCTGAACTGTCTGGACTAAAAACTCTCTAATTTTGCTCTGCTTCACTTTATCAGAGTCAACCTTTGCAGAGAGAATGTTCACATGTTGTACTCTGATCTGGGAGGTTCAGAGCTGCAGCTGGATCGTTCTAAGAGATCATGATCCTGAAAGTGCTTTTTTTTTTTGTTGTTCATTTGTGCTGTGTGCCGTCTTCATTTACTCTAAACAGCAACATATATACTGATATTTCCACATCTGAACAAGTCTTACAAGTGTTTATTTTATCCTGACACAATAATTATTCAAATAGACCTCGTGGTTGCAGAGATAAACTGTTT